CAGATACATTTGGTGCTCTCACAGATACATTTGGTGCTCTCACAGATCTCGTTTGGTGGTGTCTCCTCACAGATCTCATTTGGTGCTCCCTCCTCACGGATCACCTTTGTTGTTGTCTCCTCACAGATCACATTTGAGATCTCCAAGCCCGAGGAGTCGCACATCCCCATCTGGATCATCCTGGGGAGCACCTTAGGAGGTCTCCTGCTCCTGGCCCTGCTCGTCCTCGCACTCTGGAAGGTGAGCAGCCCCTAAGCCACGTGTGTTGGGGGCTCAGTGGAGACCCCCATGCATGGACAGACCCCTTGGCCCCACAGCTCCATGTCCACACCCCTCCGAGCGCCTCAGCACCGCCAGGAATCACCAAAAGCTCCTCCAACCTCTTTCCTCTTCCATATTCTCTATATCCAGGGTCTAAACCTCCTGGAGATATCCCATTAAGGGAAAAACCCTTCCCAGCAATGCCCTGAGATAACAGGGGGGTTTTGTTTCCCTTTCCTCCCCACAGCTGGGATTTTTTAAGAGCGGGAGCCGCAGGCGAGCGGCGGAGCAGGAGCAGAATTCCATGGGGCTGGAATGACGCTGCCGGGGCCAGGAGCCCCCCGTGCCCCCTCCCAGCCCCTCGCCAGCTCTGGAGCAGGAGGTCACCTCGATACCGAGGGATTTGGGTGCTGAGCTTGGGTTTGCATCGAGAGGAGAGAACACCCCTTTGTGTGACATCACCTGAACTGGTCCAAAACCCAAAAAAACACCCTTAAACACACCAAAAAAAAAAACAACAACCCAAACCTCTTCATGCCACAGCAAGAGGAGCTTCGAGCTGGGCCTGCAACGAGGTGGCAGCGACACGGGGACGAGGGGCCACGACGTGTCCCGTGGGCTGGGACAAACCACGGGGCCGCAAAGCTCCTTAAAATAACAATATCCATAAAAAAACCCGAGGATTGCTCGTTCCTGTGGCGCGGCTGTAGCATTCCCTGGGCTTTGCTGGCCACGGCTCTCAAACTGCCTTCGTTAACAGGAGTAATTAGGTGGAGATTTTTAATTTGCCGCCTTCTGAATGCACTGAGTGAAACGATAGCGAGTTAAAGCACCTTAATGCAAATCTCCGGCGTCCAGCTGTACATAATTATTCTAAAAATATTTACCTGTCGAAGGAAAGGAGAGGGGAAAAAAAAAAAATTAAATTAAAAGCTATTTAAAAAAAAAAAAAAAAAAAAAAAGGAATTCAAAGCAGTTTGATGTGTTTTTTTTCTCCCAGGGGAGCAGTTTGGGAGAGCTCGTGGCCAGGAGGGCCCTCACGTGTATCATACCTGTACATACCTGGTGTCCCCCCCCAAAAGCAGCTGATCGGTGCTGTTGGACAGCAGAGTGTCCCTGTGCATCCCAGAATTATTTATGCTAATGTTAATTTTATGGATGGAAAGCGAGCAGATGTCTGCAGGACGTGGAAGGGAGGTTGTGAAATATTGTCCTGGTATTTTTTAAGGATTAAAAATAAAGGTATTTTAAAACCACCCAGGCTCTGTTTCCCCTTTTGTGCCAACTCGATTCCCAATTATTTGGCTGGGTATGAGGAGGGTGCTCTCATCTCTCTAGGATTCAGGGCAGGAGGACGGGGCTCTGACCTTTTCCCAGCACTGATTTATTGTGGGATGGGAGGATTTTCCAGCCTGTTTTCAAAGGGGTGCTCTCAGCTGGGATGAGCAGCCAGGGATGCACCTTTGTGAGCCCGGAGGAAGATTTGCTGCAGAATCAGCCCCAAATATGGTATAAAATGGGGGCAAAAAACCCCAAATGAGATTTTTTTTTATTGCTGGCATCCCCACCTGGAGTGGGAATTCTTCGTGCCTGGGTTTCTGGCTGACTGGGGTCTGGGTGGTCTGGCAGGGGTGCAGGGATATCCTGGAGATCCCAAATCCCAGTGTAGGGAGCAGGGGGATGCCTGGGCCTCTGGGAGTGTCTCAGCCCTTGGAGGACCCCACACGCTCCCTTCTTCCCCCTTCCCAGGCTTGGGATACCTGGGACACCAAGGAAAAGGGCTGGAGGTCAGCAAGGAAGGGGCAGGATCCCATTTATATTTATGTATGTGTGTGTCTATAAAATATATATATATAAATATATTTTATATATATATATGTGCATGTATTATACATGTTATACAGGTGTGTTATAAGTTTCATATATGCATGTATATTTCTGTATGTTTGAATACATACAAATACACACACATATGTATATTTATGTACTCTACTAGAGTAATATATATACATTTAGCAT